CCCCCAGGGGTAAAAGCAGAGTGAGCGCTCAGGGGTGGGGGCAGCACTTTATTGGGTGATGGACGGACCCACGGACGGGCTTGGGAGGGGCTCGGCTCCAGGAGGGAGGGACAGATGGACGGACTCGGGGACGGACGCTCAGCGGCGGCGGCCGAAGCGCTGCGGGGTCGCCATCGTCCAGAACGGGGCGAGCGGGGGGTCCCAGCTCCGGGGGCTGAGCCGGGCCTGGTTCCCCCCCTGCGGCCCCCACCCCGACCTGCCGGGGGGACACGGCACCGCTGAGCCCTGGCGGGGACAGGATGGGGACGGACGGGATGGCTGGGTGGGAATGAACGGGTGGATGGGACAGATGGGAATGGGCTGAGGGACACGGACAGACAGACACAGGACGTTCACGGACAGACGGACATTAACAGGGACCCCCATCCCTGCACCGCTCCAGCTTCTCGCTCCGGTCCCCCGAAACCCCCCGCGTCCCCCTCCACCTCCTGGGTCCCCCTGTCCCCAGCCCCGTCCCTCGCAGTGCCTGGGACGTCCCCCCCGTGCCCCCAGACCCCACACCCCGGGACCCCCATCCCCACTCACCTCTGGGGCTGGAGGAGGGTCCCGGGAGGGCGGCCGGGGCGTTGCAGGGACCGGAGCAGCGCACCCAGGGCGGCGGCGGCGGGGGGCGGCCCCGGGGGGGCGGCGGCGGCGGCCTGTGCCGGGGGAGGACCGGGGTCACGGCGGTCCCGGAGCCAGAGTGTGACCCCCCCCTCCAATCATCCCGAGCCTCCCCCCGTCCCAAACCGTTCCGACGGCGCGGCCGGGCCGGGGCTCACCTGGGCCGGGTCGAGGGTCCCGGGACAGCAGCGGGCGCTGCGCGGGGTCCCCGCCAGCAGCAGCAGCAGAAGCAGCACCGGTCGTCCCGTCATCGCCCCCGCCATCGCCCCCGCCACCGCCACCGCCGCCGCCTCTTATAGCCGGGCCGGGCCGGGGGCTCCCAGGGGAGCGGGGGGCGGCGGGGACCAGTCCCGGTTAATGAAACCCATTTACCAGCCGCGACAGCCGCCCCCGGGGACGGACGGACGGATGGACGGGGCGGTCCCGCACATCCCCGCCCCGCCCGGGACCCGCAACCGGCACCACCACTAGGGCTGCCCGCACCGGCGAAGAGAGACCCCCGACCCATCGCCGGGACCCCCGTCCTGCACCGGCACTACCTGAGAACAGGACCCCGGCCCGTACTGACCCCCATCCTCCCTGCATCGCTTCCCTACCGGATCAGGACCCCCGGAGACAGGGACCCCTCCCCTGTCCCGGTACCCCCTCTCCGGGGACCCCCTGAGACAGGGCCCCCTCCATTGCACCGCCCCCCCACCGGATCAGGACCCCCTGAGGCAGGGACCCCTCCCTGCCCCAACATCCCCTCTCCGGGGACCCCGTGAGACAGGGAACCCCCTCCGGGCACCCCCTGAGACAGGGCCCCCGCCCTGCCCCGGACCCCCCGAGACGGGGCCCCCTCCCCTTTCCGGGGACCCCCCGTCCCCCCCCGCTCCGCCGCGTCTCGCTGCCGCCACCCGGTGGCCCCGCCGCGCTCCTGCAGCCCCGACGGCGCGGCCGCGGCTCCCTCCGACCCAAAACCTGCCGAAATCGCCCCAAACGCTCACCCGAGGCTGCCCCGCGCCACTGCGGCGTCCCCACAAGCGGCTCACCCGCTGTGTCACCCGGGGAGGGGACGCGACACGTCCCACGCCGTCCTGAGTCCAGGCGGTGTCACCGCGGTGGTGACCGAGGGTCATCACAGCACCCTCCACCCGCTGACACCCGCATCGTGAACCCCCCCCGGGCACACTCAGGGGTGTCCGTGGCACAGGTGACACCGGGGATGTTCCCCCCCCCCCCCCCCCCGCCCCCCCCCAAAGCAGAGGGCAACCACCACCATCTCCTGGGTAATATTTTAATGTTATATTTGCAGCATAAATAAAAGGCACGTTACATGTTTGGTACGACACGGCCGAGGGGGGATGTGGGGGGGCTTGGGGCGTGTCCCCCCGGGTCCCCCCCGCGTCCCCGGGCCCCCGCGGGGGCTGTGAGGACCCGCTCACAGGAGCCCGTGCGGAGGGGGGGGTCCCTCGGGGGCTGCGGGGGGGGGGGGGGGTTCAGCTAAAAAGGAGCTGCCCCGCGGCGGCGGCCGATCTACGATATATGGGTGCATATACGCGTCGATATGGACTGATAGATACTACACGGTTACGCTTCTCGGGGCGGGGGGGTCCTTTTTTTTTTTGGCTTCTTCCATTATTGATCGTCAAAGCTCGTGGTACAAAAGCAGCTGGGTGCGGGCAGGGGGTGGGGGGAACGCCCAGGACCCTCCTCCCGCGTCCCTCTGTCGCCTCCTGGGCTCGATTTGGGGCATCGTCGCTGCCAGAGCCCCCCGTGTGCACGGAACTGGGCGGGGGGAACCGAACAGAAACGGGTCCACGGGTCCGAAAATGGCACATTTCCCATCCGAGCCGCCAAATTCCCGAACCAGGGACCAGTCTCGGTGAGCGGAAAAAGCGGCATCAACCCTTCCCACCCGTCCGGTCCTGAGGGACTCGGAAGCCAACGAGGAGAATTTTCATCTCTGCCAGAGGGAAAGGAGGGAAGGAGCAGGAGCTCCCTCATCACGAACTCCCCGGGGTCGTGGTTTTGAGCCATTTGTTCCTGTTCAATCTTACAGTTGTGATAAAAATCGGTAAAACTCGACTCCCACGGGCTGATCCTGCTCTCTGGGCTCCCCCCAGCTCGACTCCAACTCAAAGGAGCCCTTTCAACCCTGCAGGGCTCCCATGAGGAGCCCCCGTGTCACCCTCCCCCCATTTCAGGCAGAGGGATGGAGATCCCGGGGACCCAAACACGGGATGGGGTCGGGGGGAGGCAGGTGGAAGCCCTGGGACACCCCAGGGTTCCGGGGGAGCAAAGTGCAGGTGCCCGGCACTGCCGAGCGGGGCCTGGGGCTGCCACCCCCCGGGAGCCTTGGAAAAGCAGGAGAAATCACCACAGAGCAGAAATCAGGTTGTTTCGCCCCAAAGGCAGCTGCAAAGTCTTCAGGCAAGAGTTGAAACAGCATGGAGAGGAGGAGGAGGAGGAGGAGGAGAAAAAGCCACCTTCATCCCACCTGTCCTCAGAGGGAGACCCAGCACCACCAACCTGACAGGAAATCCGACTTCCCACCCAAAAAAACCCCAATCTCCTGCACGTCCATCAGCAGCACCATGCCAGCCTGGGGAGGGAATTGACCCCAGTGAGGGACGAGCATCACCCCTGTGCCCCAAAATGACTCCTGGGACATCACCCATCACCTGGATGGGAGCAGAGGATCCTCCTGAGGCTGGATCCCTGTGGATTCCTGTTTTGCACCATCCAACTCCATCCCAGCACGAGAAATGGGACCTGAGCCCGCTCCGGGATCTGCTTCCAGGGCACCCTTTGAGGTAAAACACACCTGAAACGGGCACAGGGAGCTCCAACCCTGCGACTGAAGCAACAGTAAGTCCAGGTACGGCCAAATGCTTGTTCCCTGCTTGTTCCCTGCTTGTCCCTGCCCAGGTTTGGAGCTTTCCAACCGCCTTTTCCTGGATTTGCAGAATTTTCAAGGCACTAAAGCGCTGGCGATGGG